TATTACACAAGTCGCTGTGTTCAGCCTGAGAGGAGTCCTTCAGGGCAGCTGATGTACATTATATAGGAGCTTAATGGGATAAAACAGGAAAGTGTTATGGGATATTTGATAGCACTGAGAAAATCAGAGACTGGAAATAAAATTACCCTTGGGTCAGGTGGTGGAGCCAGAAACTAGTTGACAGGATTTAGCCATAAAGAGGAAGGAAGAACCAGGAATATGGATAGAGATATGCCCAGGAAGGAGGAGGGAGGGACTTAGAGATTTTGGGTGTTTTTGGTTTAGGACAAGTGTAGAGACACTTTTCTCCTTGGGCCTCTGGCCAATTAGGAAGGTCTTCTGGTTGCTCTGGCTTTTCTCATCTAGCAGGTTTTCTCCACAACATCTGATTCCCGAGTCCTTATTGGTAAATAGAACAATAGAGTCTTGATCCTGGACATGTTCTTTGTGTTCTTAGGCCAGCAGAACTGATCCTTTGCTTCAAAATCATGATTGTCCCCATCCTCTGTGTGTGATAGCACACAGCTTTAGTCCTGTGATCACACCCCACTTAAGTTAGAAAATGAAAATGACCCATGCAAGGACAGCTTCCATCAGACAGAAGGACAGATGATGGAGGGACAGGGTGTGGTAAATCCCATCAAGGAAAGTTCTTTTCTTCCTCAAAGCACAGGCTCTTTTTAGACTTTCATTTTTTCTCTTCTTGAATTCTTTTCAGCTGCCCTGTTCCATACATAACATCAAAAGAATGGAATCTCATCTCTGACCTGCTCTGAGCCATGACTTTTGACCTGCCAGCCTATGTTAACCACCTAGGAGGATCCTTTTTCCTGAGGCATAGACACAATTTGTGCCCTTCCTTAAACACCTTGTAAGTAGGCAGTGGTGATGCACACCTTTAATCCAGCAGTAGAGAGCTAGAGCCATACTGATTTCTGAATTTGAGGCCAACCTGGACTATAGAATGAGTTCCAGAACTCCAATGCTACACAGTGAAACCTTGTCTTGGGAAAAGCAAAACCCTCCCCCTGCCAAAAAAAAAAAAGAGAGAGAGAGAGAAAAGAAAGACTATCCAATGTGGCCTCTCAGTTCTTGGACTAGGATTCCACAAAACATAGAAAGGAAGGGGCTGAAATAAAAAGGGAAGCAGTAGAGACTTGGCATCAGTGGGCAGGAGTTAGTGAGTTGAGAGGAATATATATATTCAAGGTTCATGTATATGTATGGAAATGTCACTGTGAGATTATTTACTCATGATGTACAGTTAATATAAAGTAATGCATATTTTTAATTGTGAAAAGGGGATAAATCAAAGTGAAAATGACAGATATCAAGAAAGAATACAAAAATAATGTGGGAAGTTATAAAGAAAAATAAGAGTATGGACAATCATTCCTGAAACCACTAAATGAATAAATAAACAGAAAAGCTACAAAAGCCATGGCCTCAGAAGGGTACTAATGCTAATGAGGTTCAACAGCTGTGCAGAGTCCTCATGAAACTCATCAGTGTGCAAATCCACCAACCAACAGATTCCACACTTTATGGACAGAAACCAGTCCTAATGCGTTCTGTATATGGCCAACTGTCCATTATTCCTCATAATGGCTTCTTATGACATCGCAGCAAAAGATAAACTAACCATGTCTGGGTACAAATCATGCTGATTTCCTCAGTTTCGTCCTTCAAGAACAGGGATGTCATAGTAGCAGGAAAACCCGATACCTAGGGCAGTAGGGACCTAAGGAGGCTGGTTACATCCAGTTCTCCCTTGTTGCCAGTGACCGACTTCTGGCAAGGCACCCATTCCTAAGATCCACACCTTCCTCAAACAGTGACTCCTGTTCAATCACATGATTCTTTGTGGGACATCTGCCATCGAAACCATAAGAAGGATACTTTCCACTTTAATAATAATAGAAGGAATGGTGGTCATGCCAGCAACAGGCTCCAGAGTGTTGTCCTTCAGTGGGTTGTGGACACTGATATTCATCCATTAGTGGACAGGCAGCATGGTTCCTTTTTCACTTGCTCCCTAACACTTTAAAAATTATCTCCTTATCAAGCTCATCATATACACACTCAAGAAAGTCAATTCCCTTCTCATTAGACTCAGACTATTGAGAAATGGATGGTGGTCCTGGTTGACGTTGGGAGTCTGTGATGGCTAATCTTGTCAACTTGAGTATATTAGGAATTAACAGAAACCCAGCCAGTGGGGCACACCTGAGAGAGATTTTCCTTGGTTGAATTATTTGAGGTGGAGGCTCTCCCTTATTCTGGATCATATGAGTCAGTAGATCCCC